CTCTGGCCCGCGGGCCAAATCTTGGCCCGCGGTTGTAATTATATTTTGGGCCCGAGACAATACAAATGACTACGAGAGCTGGCCCCGTATTATTACTGTACAGTGCATTAACCGCTCAATTACTACAAATCCCATAATGCCCTGCTTTTTTTTGGCGCGTCAATCAGACAGGACCCGAAACTTCCTCTGTGATCGTAGGTATACACTACAATCTGTCACTGTGCCTACCCCTTCCCAAAATGCGAAAGAAGGGAACAGGGGCTTCTGCGACAAGTGGGAGGCCAGAATATCTTATTTACGTATGTAAAGACAGACCCGTTTGTCTTGTTTTGTGTCAACGTGCCGTTACAAAGAGTACAACATTATTGACGACACTTACTGAAACGAAACACCAACAAAATTTTATTATTCATATTTTAATTCAGAGGCTGCCGAAAGAAAAATGTTTTTAAAATTTTATTTCATAAATGAAATGCATTGGCTGGTTTTTTATTTGAAATTTGATTTTGCATGTCTCCACTATTAAGTTATATATAAATGTAATAGAGTTGTCTTCTATTCAAATGTTAAGCAAAATTCGTTTTTCGTTTCCATATTAAAAGGTTATTTGGTTCAATCTTGGCCCGCGGCTTTGTTCAGCGTTTTTAAATTTTTTTGGCCCACTGTGTTTTTCAGTTTGCACCCTTGCTCTAATGCTTCAGTCAACTAGAGACTGAGGACTGTCTCCTAGCTGTTGTTGCTATGATGGTGGCAGTAAACTCTGTGTGGCAATGGCTGCATTAGCTCCTTCAAACTTCTATAGTTTTGTTTTAATCAACAGTTTTTTAGGTTTCTGAACAAATATACTCATGACAAATTCCAGCTCTATTAAAATTAAATGTATTATCATTGCCGTGAGTCCACCACAGTGAGTTTGCTGCACTCAAGGAGAAGATGAAGACAGGCTGGATAGGAGCTCCAAGGTCTGGCTAAAATCAGTTGAGACAAAATGGAAAATCAAGCTTCACTTTGTCCCACTTTTGCACTCTAACCTCTATTACTGTCTATTTTTAATCTACAGGTGCATTAGGACTAAAAAAAATAATTCAAAAAAGCTTCTTCCCAAAAGTAATAACCACCCTGAACTCTCACATGCGACTGTCGGTGCTCATAGTCCACGAGGACTTCCCGGACTCTCTTCGAGTCACGACTTCAGAACACTGTTTACACAACCTGCACCGGCGGGCGGACAGACGGACCCGGGGCGGCCGCCACGGACCCTACCTGTGCTAATGGACCACTACCAGTGGTGCAATTCCATAAGCGTAATGGCACGACGTACGGGCTCATGCCGCACTAGTGAGGCAGCCTAGTACCTATAATATATTATTAATATTTAACAACTTGATATATAGCACCATTTGTATTTGGCAAATCGACCATACTCCTCAAAACTGTGCAACTGTATCCCCTTTTTGCACTTCTACTTTATGTCATATTTATATCTGTATATTTTTTCTTATATTCTTTACACGTTTTGCCACTGCTATTGGAGTTGGCTTTTTATCTCATTTACATTGATAAAACGACTTATGCAGTGACCAAATACAAGCGCATTTGCTCTATTCTATTCATGTCCTCTGTGATCCCAAATGTACCAGGAACAAAAGGTTGACTTAGAGCTCCACCACACAAAAGGAGCTGGACGAACCTAAATAGCAGTTGTGAGCGAAATATAGGGATACCAAACAATATGTAGTAATAAATACCTGTTTGAGAACTCGGAAATAAGCTAAATCTATAACCCTCCCGGTCATATATGCAACATCATGATGTTCTCTCAACAAATCTGATGAGAGAATCATGTGTCATCAACCCCCTATACTTTGTTTTCATTCATGGAATATTTGAAGGGTGATTTATATGCTTATCAAAGAAACG